TTCCCACAGACTGCCCCAGTCTTCGCTCCTTCCTTCCCCCATCCATCTGGCTTTACTCTTTATTTTATTCTCCTTTCTGGTTCTCCAGAACAGCGAGCATTCTGTGCCAGACAGCCTCCTCCTTCGAAGCCTTTCCAGCAGCTCATAGAGGCCCTGGCGAGGATGGCTGCTCCCTGGGCGGCTTTCTGCTGCTGTCCTTCGTCTTACTTCTAAACCAGTGTAAACACTGACCGCTTCAACCACTTCAGACAGACATAGTAATGAATGTCTATATTATAGTAGATAAAGTGCTAGGAAGCAGAACTACAGAAATGAAAAAGGCCCCTGATTTCAAATAGAATAATAAAAAAAGATTTCTAATTTATAAAGTATCTTTCAAGTTATTTAACCAAAGAATTTACATGCATTTAATAGCACACACAGGAACAAACCTGAAGATAATGAAGAAATAGGAATATTTTTGCCCCTGAAACCTAGATGACCCTGGACTTCAGTCCTGTTCCAGTATAGCAATTTAAAAATGCTGTCTAATGTCAATTAATTTTTTTTTAACTACATCTCCTAAGAATCCCATGGATTAGATATGGGAGGTGAAATGGCTGATCAAGCTCCTCCACCTTAAGTTTTGAGGTTGGAATTCTTACCTATTCAATGACTAAGGTTTCACTTTTGAGAAAAGAAATATTCTAAAAATGACACCCTGTACCACTCTTTCCCTAACTTCAATTTTTAAAAGGGAACTAAAACTCTGGTAGAGTTAATGACTGTTTCACTTACTCCAATTATTCAAGTATGCATTTCTATTATATCTTTCACGGAGAACTGATAAGTATAAAACACAGAAAAATCATAGCCACTCATTTTACTTACTAAAGGGCCTACTATGCATTTTTGTTTTTATGTCTCCTCAATTTTTTAAACATTATGATGAAGTTCAATTAAAAGTAAAATCTTGTTGGGCTGTTTTTTAGAAGAACCTTCTTTCTCAGAGCTTATTTGAGCATTGATTGATCTCATCTGGTACCCCAGCAGCTACATTAGGGAATTCCTTGATTTACTGAATAAAGTTTTGATTAATAACATGCATTTACTATTTAACATTCAAGAATCTCTTTACAGTGTCCAAATTTCAGGTTTCAAACTTCAGCATGAGACTATGTTACTTGAAGGTATGCATTTTGGGGTATAGAGATTTCACATATTAATGAGTGGACCCATGTCAGGACATTAACTCTACAGACACAATGTGGACATTTTCTGTGGCGGATTTTCAGAAAGAAAAGTGATAGAGAGAATTAAGGAATACTGAATTCTTACTACAAACCAGATTCTTTTATATCCTATTTAGGAAAAATCTAACCCAAATTGTAAGACATTACTATTTTTATTTATATCTGTAGAAACTGAAGTTTGGAGAGATTAAATAACTTGCTCAAGGTCATTTAAATGAAATGAAGGAACTGGGATTGCTTTGCAAATTGACTAACTTCAAAGTTCATAAAAAAACCTGAACTCCAAGATTCTAGCCTCATCAATAAGGTATTTAATTTCTCTGATTAGAGCTTCCTTGTCTTTCAGCTGTAAACAATCTATTATCTGCTTATATTAAAAAATACCTGTGAGAAAACAAATGAGATAATGTATGTAAAACTAGTATTTCAAAGCATAGAGGTATTTTTGCTTTGCTTCTATGTATATTACTGACCACAGTTTCTTCTGCACAAAGCCAACAACCCCATAAAATATTAGCTGACATTAACTGCGGTAGAATTCATGAAGCTGGTGGCTGGAAAGATGCCACATTTCACAGAATTTATTTTTTCAGTTACTATAAAGTTGAGAAGAACCTGGGAATACCAGGTATTTTTGGTTTCCTTTTCTTGTCCTGCCTGTTCTGGAGCAAATGACTTCCCAAAGACATATATGGATGTCAGCGAATTGATAACGAGTTAGCGTAGAGTATAGCGTTAGAGTAGAGGTAGCCATGCTAGGAAGGATACGTAAATTTACTTTGAATGATGCTTTTAATTTAGGGAGGGGTGGTATTTTATATTAGGCATTTGTAAAGAGTAGCATCCCAGCTTATGTCTAAAACTGTTTTCAAATATAAAGTAGGACCACAATTCATATATATGCTTTTTCCTTTCTAACAAAGAATATGACATCCTTATTCTTTGGTTTTGAGGCTAGAAAGAATGAGATCCAGCTTTTGATCCGGAAGCTTGCCTGCCTCATTTTTCCTGACCATTACAGTAGTCAGCAGTCTATGTTTTCTCTGTCTTATAACACCATCTTCACTTTAAGTTATTTGAAATATCTTTTAGCATCTATACCATCAAGCAAAACTGACATTGTACCCTTTTGAACAGCCCTTTTCAACAACAATAAGCAACAAATATTTATTTAGTCAACAAGTTTAAATAGACATTTTGATAAATGCCTATGTTCTGTTCCTTTTTCTGTCCTGCTTTCTTTTTGGTTTCCGTGGTTTCTATAACTTAAGATGTGAGAATTCATCACACATTTTTTTTTCCATGAAGTGAGGATGTGTACTTTTGGCACCAAATAAATGTTGACTAATGGTTAGATTTATGAGGTGAAATATATGATACCCAATTAATTTTGAATTTCAGAAAAACAACAAAAAGAATTTTGTACGTCTCCTGCAAATATTGCATGTTATACTAAAAAATGATTTTATGTGTAACTGAAATTCAGGATTAATTCAGTGTCCTATATTTTTAATTGCTAAGTCTGATAATCCTACCAACAGTCTGAACTTTGTAAAAATTTCCCATTCATAGGAAATGTGTATATGCTGTAAGAGTATGTGTCTGGCTCAGATGGCTTTTATTCTTCCTCACTGATTTCCTTTTAAGATTATCATTGTTGCTTATTAATTGTTGTCCTTTTGACTAATTTTGGGACAAACAGGAAGAGGATAAGATTAGTTTTCTTATTCTCTGGAACTCTGCAGTTAATTATTTATGTTATTTTATGCAGTTTTTAATTTAGCCCCTTGGATGGTATGATTATACATTTATTTCTTCAAGAATATTTTTTCAATCATCAATAACTTTATATGTTGATACTTAGAATTGAGATTTCTGTCAGCTTTTCATCCTCATTATAAAGTTAAACTTTTGATAGCAATCTGCTTTCGCTTTCACTGATACATTTTGTGCTCAGTTACTATGTGTGCCATTCTGTGTTTGAAAATAAATATTGCTGGGGGTTTTCAGTTATAGTTCTGGTATCTTGTCTGGGAAGTTTTCAAAATTACAGAATAGTAGAAATTAATTTTTGAACTTTGCAGATGGATAACTGTCTTTTCTGGAAATAACTTATTTTAAAATGTCAAAGGAGTCTCTCCCCGAGATAAGAACATTTATATCTTGGAATGTTTTTTCAAATGCCACCCCCACCACAATCACAAAATCAGAGTTTTATCTAAAACTGTTATGTTACTTTCAAAGACCTATTTCTAAGAACTGTCCACTCAAAGAAATAAAATATTTTACAAAATATCAAAACAGCAAACTCCTTAAATAATTGCTCTCTATTTGTGATAACAGTTAAATATATAAACAGTATACACCCAATGGATTCTCTTTAGTAAAGCAAACAAGCGCCAACCAACAACTACTAAAACCCTCTTGTTGTAAGAGGTCAACAAGTGTGGATAGCTTTCAGCTTATAAACTATAAACTGAAATCTGTAATCTTAGGAATTTACTGGAGCAGAACCTTATAAATTTACCCTTAGAATCATAATATAGATGAAATCATTCTATAGACCTTGAAAAAATCTCTTCCTCTGTGATTCAAGATCAGAATCTCCATTGCTGTTTTATGCAGAGGAGTCTTCTAGTGAGTCTAGTGTATTTCACTATATATACACTTACTTTTAGGGAATTTACATGTTAACTCTAATTTCCTAGTGACAGTTTTTTCATTGCTTTTTGAGTGAATATGTTTTATATTATTCTTCATGATAAGCAAAAGCAGCTTCATTTTGTAGGCATAAAATTTATATTTTTTTTTCACGTTGTAGTATTGAGCTAAGCATTTTTTAATTTACATTGTATTGTTGAGCTAAGCGTTGAGGTCACTGAGGGAGCAAGCATGACATTCTTACACCAAGATGTTTGAAGAAGTTTAAACAAAAAGAAAATAAAGCTTATTCTGAAGGGAATGATCTTAAACATTTATATAAAATTACAAAGGGAAAAAAAGAAGTTTTGTTATTGTCATCCTTAAAAAATGTTTTTGCATTTCATTTTTGGAAAGGAATATTATTTTATTTTGCTCACTTAAATTAGAAAAATCTCTGTAAACCTGGAAAATCAAATGGACTTGATAAATGAAAGTTTATATGGAGTATCATTCAACTGCCTGAATGCATGACCTCTTCAGATAACTGTGACCCCTTATGAAGTCCATTCTAATGAAATGAATTCAAGCAGCTGATGATTTTAGATTGAGCCTTAATTCCAGAGAGGTCAAAGTCAGGTGCCCTGTTCTCTGTAGTTTGATGATCACTCTAAGCAAAGTTGGGAGCTGTATGTGGGAGAATTGCAAAATGCCCTATGAGACCTGTGTCTTTAAGTAATTAATAATATACTCCATCGAAGCACATGGATAACTTCACATTTCCATTCCTGCTCTGCTGTTTGTAGAAAGAATTGAGTGTTGTGACCTACCCCTCCCTCAAATTCACTTACCTGGGAATTAAGACAAGGGAAGGAAATGGGTCTTTGTTGTGTGATCAGAGGGTGAAAATTCTCACGCAATCTGAACCTTTATAAATAAGATCATCTTAAAAGGGGTCAAAATGGTAGGATTTAGATTTACTCTCCTTGGCCCTTCACTGCCTTGATCTATTTTTCTGTACTTCTGTTTTCAGTTGTCCCATTTATAGAAGATGCATAAAAATAGAAATGAAAACCAATATGTCTATCCATTTGCGTGTTCTAACTACTGGGCTCATGTTACCCTCAGGCACTGAAGGAGCAGTGTTCGGGCACTCTGTGGAGACACCTCACATCAGAGCGGAACCTTCCCAAGACCTCAGGTAAGTCCTGGCATTTATACCTGTGTCATAGTTTCCATCACTGGTGATCGTTTTGATATATAAAGAACTAAAGTAGAAAATATACTATATAACTGTAAAAAAAATTGACCATCCCTGCCTACATGGTAAATAGATAGTCACATTTTTGATTAAGTCAAGAAAATGTGAGTTATTATTCTATCCTTTTGTATATTTTTCCCTGACAAACATACAATGGATATACAATACAGACATCAGACAGGAGAAGTGTGGGAAAAGAAAAAGAAAAGGCAGTTACAGATGTTGAGAGGAGGACTAATAAAAATAGGGATTCCAGAAATTCTGATATAGACAGTGTAATATAGGGCATAAAGAAAGGGGAGGCAGAGACTGGGGAAAAGCTATAAATGATTAGGCAGTGTAAGTAGAGGGAAATACAGGAAGAAATGTAAATACTAATCAGAAAAAGACAGAACTTAATTGCCCTATGGAGGACACCTCAATCTAATATTTAAATGGAGTTAGCTGCCCCTTGACATTGTACTGTTTCTGACAGTCACAGTTTTATTAAAAGCCCTCACTACCCAGAAGATTGTGAGATGACAGCATAATAAGGAATCCTCCCTGTATAATCATGGCAACTGTTGATAAAGCTTGAAATAATAAAATCTAGTAACTGATCCATTGATGTTCTTAATTCAATAAATAAGCTAAACTCTAGGGCTCAGTGATGTTTTACATAACTTACTGCGGTAATCATTTTGTAGTACACACATATATCAAATCATTATCTTGTATATCTTAAATCAGTACCATGTTATATATCAGTAAAAGAAGACATTTTTATAATTAATTTCTGACAAGTAAACTATACATTCTAAAAAGTATTCACCACTGTATCTAAAAAAGACAACCATGCGGATATTAAAAAATAAATCACATATTAAAAATCATTTTAAAGCTGATTCAAAGTATTAACCTAAGAGATAGAGTCCGTGTCTTGGAAAACATAAAAATATTAAGCACAAAATCTCAATTTATTTCATGAAAATCAGGTTCAGCCTTTCCCATTTGGATGAGTGAAAAAATGCTCAAATGAAAATAGAAAAATAAAACTGAAACTTGTTAATTCAAAGAAAAGCCATACTTTTACAACAGTAAATTTTGGAGGCCCTTATAGTTCTAGGATAAAATTTCCTGATGAACTCAGTTTCTCACAAATTAATTAGCCAGATTCAAACTGGGTAGTTGAATCTGCCTTCTTCAGACAGGAGAAGGTGACCCTCTTCATGTGATCAAGGCACTTTTTTAATAAGACAGAAATAATGATTGTTTACTCAACGCCAAAGTCCCAAGGGCTTAGGAGGGTTGAAGAATGTGTGTAAACAGTATCTCGTAATGTGTTACAGTCTTGATTTATGGCTTTCTTCTTACTGAGGACTCAACATTTTTGTATAAATTATTTTATCCTTTTCCACCTGACAAAGGCCGTGTTTCCCTAGAACGGGATCTGTGTCTTCCCTGCTTTAGTGCTATAGCAGCCAGCCCTCCCTCTCACATATAATGGCATTGTTATAATTTGTTAATTTGAATTCCTGAAACTTAGCAAAGCTGATTAATGAGGATGCTAACTATATTCATGTAATATACGGAATGTGGTAGGATTTGCTATTGTACTACGAGGACACAAGTGACTAACGTTGATTCCAACTGTTTTTGAGCTGTGTTTTAACATGAATACCAGAGTTTATTGATTCATTCAATACGGTTTTTAATTACTAAGTTTTAAAATAAACTTTTTTTTGCTTCTAACATTTTAGTAATTATGTACTCATTTTACAATTTTCATTTTGAAAAGCCTATTGCTAAAAGAAGAATAAGAATCAACTGCTATTTTAATTGCCTTGCTGACGTGTCTCAAAATTCATAAACGTGAATGTGCATTAAATGATAATTAGTCTATAGTGTGTCTGGCTTTTATATTTTGTAATTATTCATCAGGTATTTAAACATTGAGCTAAGCTGGGCTTATCTGCTAGTGCTAAAAGCAGATTGGCAGCCTCCAAGATGAGTGGTACTGATCTAAATTCCACAACCTAAACAGAAGCAGAGCACAGTAATGATGGGGGTATTCAATTATTCATTTGTGTACTGAAGATTAAAAGCAGAGTGTCTGAGAAGATCTTTACAAGTCTTGCTGACAGTTTTCCTTTCAGGGCAATAAGAAATACTCCTAGTTGACACCAAAGTCTAATCAACAAGGTGACATTGGCTGACACAGTAAATAAAATGTAATTTGGAGAGTAAGAAGTCATGTTGTCTTTGCTTTTATTTTTGTCAAGAATAAAAGAATTTAGAAATAAACATCTCAAAATGTTTATTATAAAGTATAGGCAATATTTTGGTATGGAAATGTAGTAGATTGCTATCATTTATTTAAAAGCATTTATTAAGCACTCATCAAACATCTTTTGATGTTTTAGCCAAAGTCTGTGCTAGTCTTCATGTACATTTTAAACCTACATATGTAGATTTTCTTTGATTTTTTAAAAATATAAGTTGATATTGTTATTCGGTAGGGACTTACTTGTTAAAAGGCTAAACAACAAATAGTAAGGACATCACAGTATATTTGCCTGAAATAGTCCAAGTATGAATGTTCTTTTTTAATTTATTTCTTAAATTAATATATAGCTAAATTATTACAGTTCAGTAGAATTTCTGTCCTCTTTGGTGAGAAGTGATGAAATCTGTAGTGTAATACCCCCTCTCCAAGGATTGTTTGGATCTGAGTTCTGTTAATGTTCCAAGAATAAGACAAAAATCTAGACTTGGAATCAGTAAAATGAGTTAATATTTAATGATATAATTGGCATCTTTGCATAATTTCCATTATTGTATGCATATAATTTAAAACGGAAATGTTGAGGTTTGCAGACTCCAAATTAATCTCTGGAAACACATAGCTTTAATTTACATCGTTCCTGTGTTCAAGGAAAAGCCAACATTTATTAAGTGTTAAGTATTTTTCCCTGAGACAATTCGTCAATAAAGGGGTAAAATGCTTTGCTACTTATGAGAAAAAAATGACAAAAAATGATATTTTTCTCTTACTCTCTGCTCCTCTCCCATGTCTCCTCTTTCTTGTTTTCCCTTCTTCCCTCTCTTCCTTCCTTTTATTCTTTCATTCTATGTATGTAGAAATGAAGTAGTAAATGTGCATGAGAAACTGCCTTCACTTTCAATCTTGGGAACAGGGAGCAACAATTGACCTAGGGATCTGTCTGATCCAATTTTCAGGAAGAGACCATGATGGGTGTGCAAGTGTACACGGAACAGTACAAATGCAGGGAACAGAAACAATGTGATTTGCAGCTGAAGAATGCTCAAGGTAGTCTAAAGTGATAAGGCAGTAAAAGTGATGATAGTATAAGAATATATATTCAGGTCACAGTTTTCATTAGATTTTTTTTTTCTTAAAACATTTTTCTGTTGAATTCTCCATTCATTCCATCCTTGGAACAGCGAATAGTGAGTAGCAACTATGTTTCTGGTGCTGTGTTAAATAATTAGCAAGAACAAGGTATATGATACTCAAGTTCTGCTTAAGTTTCCATGTAGTAATTGCATCTTGCAACTTAGTTTAAGAGAAGTCTGAATCATTTTCTCAGAGAATTGAGAATTTTACAGCTCTAGACCATTTATTTTCAAATTTGAAAATTGCATAACATCTTAAAAATAAAATCTTTTTTGCATTTTCGGTATGTAAGCACCCAAACTGAGTTGGTTGGGAAAAACAGGCAGTGGAGTGACTCAAGCTGAGCATTAACCCTTCTCTCTGCTATAATCCCTGGGTACCCACATGAAGACTCGTCAGACACGCATCGCTGTGATTACTATAATGCTATGAAAATGAACACAATTGTAGTTCATTTAATTCCATTGACTAATTACATAGAAAGTCACAAGTTTTGCCAATACCTGTGGATTTTATTTTTCAACAAAGCCTTTAGAAAATATTTTGTAATAAAATGCATAGTTTGAAGTATATGCTGTAAACCCTCCGCAGTGGAAGCTTGAGAATTTCCATAGAGAAAAGAAGCAGGACATCACATAACTGCTGACACTGTGTTACCAAAAACCTACTGATTAGATAGTTCTAGAAGAAGTTCAGGTTTAGTCTGATTTGAGTTCGGAGTCCACGCCTAGGACGTTTGATAGGGATTCTAGGCTAATTTGAGAAGGCCAGGGTTTCCAGAGAAAACCAGTACAACCAAAGACTGGCATAGTAACCTACAGCAATTCTTTTTATGATTCCTGGGCTTCAGTCTTGTGTCAAAGGGTTCCCTTTTCTTTTCCAGAACTTTCTAGGTAAAATATGAATTTTTAGAGTGTATATTTCTCAGTGTTGGTGGGATGATTAAGAGATAATCCATGCAGTTTTAAGTATAGAGTAAGTTCCCAGTACTAACGTTAGCTTTTACTATATTATTATAAACATATGGCTAGCTCACTTAAAAAAAAGAGCAAATCTAATGATGTTTCGCAGTGGATAGAATATTTTATAGTTAAGGTCCTCTGTAATTTTATTTATTAGGTAACTGAGCTCCAGTAAGGTTAACTGGATTTAAAACTTCTAGTAGAACTTGTGTAGAACCTATGGGCTTCTTATTCAAAATCCTGTGTTTAAGTCTTTCATTAGATTGATGTAACTCTTTTGCATAATAATCTTTAGTAATAATCAAGTTTATGCCTCAATTTCCCAGACTGCTTCTTGGAAATAACTTGGATTACTTTACAATATGCAGAAACACTTTCAATTTATAGGAAATACTTTATGTTATCCTGCAGTTTATAATGCGGCTTCTAGTGCCCAGCTTCTAGTAAGAGCCTGGGAAATTATTATTTATAAAATAGTCAGTGAAATACATTATTATCAATCATCAAACCATTTTGATAAGTTGGGATGGTGGTAATATGATGTCTACCTTTATGTATTTTAAATTTTGTATCTACTTTTTCTATAATGTTCTTTGGATAGAAAATACCACAATCATGTACTTACCTGATTTCGAAGCATTTTAAAAAGTGCCTCATTGTGCTTCAGTGCAGAGAGGTGACTTTCTTGTCAGAATTCATGGACATTTAACGCTGGGAGTTTGGATGAAAGTATAAAGTAAAATTTGCACATCACTTGTAGAAAGTGTGTTTTTCCCCCCATTCAGCAAGTGATAGGCCTAGAGTCAGTGGGGCTCTGGTAGGTAGTGTGTGCATTTACGTAAATGTTTAAGTGTACATGTAATTATGGATATTGATATTGGATGATTCAGGTTAACGTATGCATCTTTAAATGCTCACAGTGAATTTATGCTATTCACAATATTGTTAATTTTCTGATTTTTGGTCTCCATTTACATTGTAGTCATGCTATGAAATTTTTGCTCTCAAAAATGTAGTTTATTTGCTTAGGTTAAATAGTCAGTCAAGCTCGTGAAAAATAGTTTGCAGCTTACTTTAATTTTCATGTTCACAAGAAATATTTGACTACCACAGCATGTGCCTTTGAAAATAGAATTATGAAATCCTCCAAATATTCTAGTAAATTTTTATTACATACTCTATCTGCACACTCTCCATAATTAAAGTTCCTAGTGTATATTACTCATCTGAATGATGGATACTATGTAAAACAGACAGTTCTATTTTTAATAAAATTTATAACACTTCTTAATGATCACTACATTTAATTTTATCAAGATTGGCAAAGCATACCACTGAAACCTGTTTAATTCAAAGTCTTAATCACTTTCAGAACTTGAAGGATTTAGCATACTGTAAAATTGCTATCACTTTTTGTATATTTTAGGTACTCCTTGATAAGTTTTATATGTGTGTGTGTGTGTGTATCTCAGATGTATATTGTCTTAGAGCACAAAATTAGCTGCACAATAAAGGAAAATATTCCTGTGAAACTTTAATTTACATGTTTTGCCTCCATCGCACTGAATATCAGAACTAAGCCCCAGTCTGTTCAGTTCTCTTATTTTTCCCTGGGGTTACATCACTGTAGCAAGGGGCCTCCACTGCCAAAGCACTTGGGGGTGACATTTGGTCATTGGTAGCCTCGATCCAATTGGCATTTGCCGAGATGTTCTCCTTCTTACTGTCACTTCGTCTTCATTCACTGCAGGCTACTCCTCCTCTCTTCTTTGAGAATCTTCTGGTCTCTTGTTCTCTTATCCCGAACTATCCCTCTCTCCTCAGACCTCTAACACTTAAAAACTAAAGGTCTCACAACCTAGGACTTGGCCTCAGATGTCGGGACACAGAGAGCCATTCAAGACCAATACTGTTCATTTCTCTCCGCATCTTCTCTTGCCTGTGAATCAAGAAAACCATTCTCCAACTAGTGAAATAAACAACAGGGTCTCATGGTTGTTGGTTTTCTTCTTTGTTTTGTTTATGTGCTGAGTCACTTTCAACACAGTACATGGCTAGGGTTTTTTCCAACTCAAAATGTCTATAACATTAGTAAACTTTAAAGATCTTTGACAGCTTATCTGCTCTATTATCCACTATTTGTGGCAAGGATGGTTGTTAGTGAATGGGGGAATGGCGCTGGGTTCAAGGAAGTAGGACGGAAAAAATCCTATTAATATTTTAAAATACTTCTCTACCACATACTTATTTCCCTTAATCCGTTTAAGAAACTTCTTAAAATCCTATTTAAAAAACGTAATTGTTAATTTAGAGATGACGAACTGAGGTTTATTGCTGCAGGCTGACTTTCCTGAACCCAGGGCTAGCCAGCTCTCCATCTTTAATGGCCTCTTTGAATAGGAATCCTCTAAGTCAGTGGTGGCAAAACACACTATGGCAACACTGGAAATGGATACCTGAGGTCTAAAATGAAGATGAAGATAATAAACACTTTAAATTAAGTAACTGATAAAGATGAGAACAGAAAAACTCAAAAGCCCAGAAATACTTGGTATATTTTAATGCTCTAGTCCCAAATGTCAAATGTGGTAGAAGTATAGTATAAAAAAATGTACACATTTACTATTTTAAATATTACATATATTATATATATATTTTACTGTCAAAATATGAGTAATAACTCCAAGCCTTTATCCTTAGAAACAAACTAAGCCATATCAATTATTTGATAAGTGTGTTTTTCTTCCCACTTATAAGTTCATCAAGTTGTGTTTCCTTGAATATCAGATTCATATTTAATTCATTTTAATTAGGTTCTTATCTGACTTCTGTTTGATACAATCATACCCAAATCTATATAATTACATTTAATGTAATGGATAATTAACAAATGGAAATAGTAATGGTCACAGATGTGCTATTCAGGATGGTATATGTTTGGGGATGTATCAGTTATAAGTACATATTTTAACACTCAGCTTTTGAAATTTAGATACTGTGGGCAAAGTGTAAGGATTATGATGAAAAAGATTATGGGTAATTTTTTTAAGTTCTCAAACGTTCTGTGAAAACATGTGATTTGTGTTTTTTAAAAAACCCAAAACATATTTCTTTAAAATATATATATTCAAAACCTGACCCCTCCAGGGACTTTATGAAGATGTCCAAGAGGTCCATAGAGATGAAAGTTTCAAAGTTGTGTTAGTGAATGAAAAAAGAAAATGTAAGTGTCGAAATCACTTCTTCTAATGGCTGGCTCTAGTCCTTCAATATCACTTTCAGGTCTTTAGTTTGGCTATACTACTGAGAGAGCACTCATCTTCAGACCATTTGACGTAGTTCTCTCTGCAAAACCGCTCCGGATCTATAGCCTCAGAGGAAACCAGTTGCTCTGGATGATGGTGAACGTGAGCCTGAGGGAACTCTTGTGCTAAAGTCCTTGGTCAAGAGGGGCACGGGCAGTTGCAGCCCAGAGCAAAGCTATTCTCCAAAACAATCAACCGGATACGATCTCTGATCACACTAAGTGCTTTTTGCGACTATATCCTTGTTTCCATATTCTGCCTTCTTTTACTCTATCTCTGGTTTTATACTTGGAGATAATTTTTTAAATGCCTCCCAACTATCTTTTTTGCAGGCACAACTCTCTAAAACATTTGAGTATCACCCCTCATTTAATTTTTCTTTCTCAGACTAATGTCATTCATTCTGTGGACGTTTTCCTGGGCCAGTAGAGGTCAGTTAATGTGGAAATGTCTTATGTCTTCATTTTAATTAATTCCTAAAATTGTAAGAGTCCATTGAGAATTTTTGAGTTTACAAAATTTTGACTGTGCAATATTTGGAAGATGGCAGTATTAATCATCTTCATTAAAATTCTCATCTTTTCAAGATAGTGTTCCCAAAAGACTGGCCCCCGTCCCTGACTAGTCAAGGAATTCAGAGACCGGGTCTTGGAGCTTAGAAGATAAGACGCAGCTTTATTGCTTTGCCAGGCAAAAGGGACTCACAGCAGGCTAGTGCCTTCAAAACTGTGAACCCATCTTAGGGTTGGGGCTTAGTGATTATATAGTGAACAAACTGGAGGAGTAAAAGGGGATATCAGTCAACAAGAATCTCTGCTAAAGCTTCCTCCTAAATCTGGGTGAATCTGTCTGGCATCATGGGACCGTCTGGCGGTCTGGAGGGGCATCAGCCTGCGATCTTCTTTATCTGATCAGACTCATCAGGCACCAGGAGGGACTTCAGAGGGTCTGGTTATTCTCCTGAGGTGGTTGTCCGGTGACTCCCTTCCTAGGGGAATGACTGACAATCCAAGCGTGATTGTAAATTTCAATTGCCAGAATAAGGTAAAACAAACAGGAAAACTAATAACTCTGCCTCTAACTCTAATTGTAACGACGGGCCTGGGGCTGGGGACAGTGTCCGGTCAGTCAGATTTGCTGACTCTTTTAAAAGCAGACGCAAGTATAAGGCCAGGAGTTAGCCTAAGCGCAGCCATTTTATTATTTCTCTTTCAATAAGATTCAGTTTATTGAGGGCTACTTATACGCTAACTTTCGTAGAAATTTATTTCTTAAAACTCCATCATTAATACTGAAAATATGTAAAAGATTTAAACTAGGAAACTTACCATGACCTACTTTCCACATGCATTGTGAAAGGAAATAACACAACTGTTACTAAATCGTTATACAAATGAGAGTAAATGACTGATGCTAACAAAGAGTTTCATAAAGAGCCAAAAAATAGAAGGCAATCAAAAATCAATTCTAAAACTCATTTTGTTGTTGTTGTTGTTTTGAAATGGCAAGGATTTGTATTTGTGCCTGCCTGTATGTTTTAGTTGACTAATGTCACCTTTGAGTCCATCTTATTTTTTTTTTCTTTTTACTATTAAGGATTTTTTTTTCTCCTTAGGCTTGAATCACCAACCAGGTCCTTGATAATGGAAGCTCCTCGGGGGGTCCAGGTGAGTGCTGCAGCTGGAGACTTCAAGGCCGCCTGCAGGAAGGAGCTCCATTTACAGTCCACAGAGGGGGAGGTGAGTGCCGAGTGTGGACGCTGGCCCTTTACTGCTGAGGACGCGTCTTCTCAAATTGTATGCACGTGGGTTCAGGAGAAACGGAAAGAACTGCTTCCTGACAGAGCTGAAATTATGAAAATATTAATATTTCTTGAGTATGCAACTGGGTAAACCTAATGTTATTTTCTTAAGTCAGAGCTCCGTTTATTTTTTACTGAAAGATATTCACTCACAAGTTAATTCTAAGTGGGACATCTAAGTTCCTGTACTTACAAAATGGACAGATAAACATAATGAATGTTAAGAAAATATCCAGAAAGAAATCAGTATTCATTTTCCTAGTTCTATATGGTCTTCAGGTTTTTCCAGAAAGTACTTTGAAAGTTTCTTTGTTTCAGTAGAAAGAGTGTCTCTATTTTTCTAAAAAAGCTTATTTTACTGTTTTGCCCAGTTATTTCTTAAATAAGGAGGTCCATGCCAATATTTTTCTTCCAAGTTACTTTATTTCACCCAAGAATCTTTTTAAAGTCTGTCGTCATTTCCTTAAAGATCATGTGCTCTCTCTCACTGCTTATTTAAAGACCCCTTTGTCCTTGGCCTTCCACTCCTTCACTGGAACCGGATAGGCACGTCTTTATTTTGTCTATGTTACTTGCTATCTACGTTGTGACTGTTGTGTCTGCAGAATCGTATTTTGTCCATTCTGGGAAATTCCTGAATGTTATGTCTTCAGATATTCCCACTCCCCTTTTTTCTCTGTGACCTTCTGCAGAATCTCTGAAGAAATGGGTGTCTTTTCATTCTCTTACCTTCCAGATCGTTTAGCCTTTCCCTCCTCGTTTCTATCTCATGTGTAATACACTCTGTGCCTCTCTGCACCTGTTTATTCAGATCTACACACCCAGCTTCCTCCTCAGTATCTGATCTCTTCTTCAGTCCCTACACCAGGCTTTTAATTCTAGTAATTGTGCTGTTCATCTGTTCATCACTAGGATTCTCATCTGTTGTTTTTTTTTTCCCCAAATCTGCCTGAACATCTTGGTAGTTGCTCTCTTGTTTGCTTGTTTGTTTTTAATTCTACCTTCATTTATTTCAAAGCCTTATGCATAGTAGATAGTGTATTCTGCATCCTTTACCACAATTCCCAAAGTCCTTGAAGGTCTAAATCTGTTTTGTTGCTGTTTCCACCAATTAATTCCCTTAATATTTCCTTCCTTCGTGTGCTTATTATTATTATTATTTTTATGAGTTTACAAAGGTCAAGCTGAGACGAAAAAACACTGGAAGGATGATTTGAGACAGA